CATTGCTGTTGGATACATGTGCTGGATGATTTTGTGTCACGCAGACTGGTAAGATAACCGTTTGATAGGGGGCACCGCGATGATTCACGGGGCCCCTCCTTGCTGTGGGAGCCGCTCTTTGAGTACTCCCTCTTTCGTCCGTGTGAAGGATGGTCGTCTACCTCCCGTGAAGTTAATGCATCACCAAAACAGTCTCACCCGATAAATAAGTGGCGTAGGCCGCAAACAGTATCATGGCCTTTCGCGAGCTGATAGGATCACTGATGTGGCTGGCAACGCAAACGAGGCCAGATATCGCGAATGCAGTAAGAGCGGTAGCACGGTATTGTGCTCCTCCCAAAGAAATTCATTGGAGAGCAGGTCCTGGTATTTTGGGGTATGTGGTAATGACTAGTGACTTGGGGATTACATTCAGGAGGGTTAGTGTAGCAGGGTTGAGCATGGAGGTGTTTGCAGATGCAGACTATGCAAGCAAGGCTGCCGAAAGGAGGTCTATGTCAGGAGGCTTGGTGATGTGTGTTGGGGGGATGTATTTCTTGGTTTCAAGGACGCAGAAGTGCGTTACGTTGAGCACGACAGAGGCGGAGTATGTCTCCCTTGCGGATGTGATGAAGGAAGTGTCGTTTCTGAGGCAGGTATGGCGTTTCATGTTGCCAGAAGCAGGTATGCCGTGCATTCCGGTGTTCGAGGATAACCAGGGGGCTATTCAGTTGGCGCAGAACCCGATTAGCAACAGTATCTCGAAGCACATCGACGTAAGGCACCACTATATCAGGGAACTGGTAGGCAGGAAGGAGATTTCGATTTTTCACGTGGAATCAGCGTATCAACATGCTGGCTTCCTCACGAAGGCACTTCACGTCGGAGATTTTGAGTTTCATCGTAATTTCGTGATGAGTGTGGGACAGGAACGGTAGATTTGGATGTATTTGTGTTTGATAGAAAAAACTAGGGTGGCATTATTTTACATTTTTGCCTATGGTCATCTCAATGAATGGTGCTCTAGGATGGGGGGGCAGTTGGATCGCTATGATTATCTAAAAATACAACGGAATGATCGGGGATGGAAATATATTTCTAGCCCAGAAGGCTATTGTTGCAGATTTGAGTTGTGTTTTGGATTTTTTTCTTGTGTTTTGGAGATACTGAAAGATCATGAAGACATGTCATAGCCACAAGCAGGGGGGCTGATAGATATTATTGTAGCAATGCCATGTGGTTGGTGGTGGATGTTCCCATGGAATGAGGTAGAGCGGAATACCGGGAGACATGTATGTGTGGTACGTAGAATGGATTCCAGGAATGTACAAGGTACCCCTGTTGTATACGGCGTCGCCCCCTCAACGGGGCTTGTGTGTATATGTGGATGCAACTAATCACAGCAAGTTTTTCTCCTCGGCGCAAGCCCGCCGAGTTGCCAACACCCTATTCAACACACGTCTTGCGACAAGCCACCCCCAGTTCGGATTATCCTAGCACCTCTATGGTTCCATGCGGCTCTCAACTCACGAATTACCGTTCTAACCATGTGCCATTTTATAAGGATGCGCTCAGTCTACTGCAGGTTCGTGGAGCAGTACTGGTGGCATGTGATCTCAATCCACCTGAACCCGTCGTGGATCAACAGTCTGCTGCGAGAATTGCTGGATCACAACCTAGCGGATCCGACAAAGGTAGGACCATTTACTTCCCAGTTTTGTGTGTTCTAAGGTTTTTTCACCTCACATTACACCGAGGCTGCCCCCGAATGAGGGACTATTAGTGTTGACTGTTTTCGTGAGGAGGAGTGAACTCCCGCCTAAAGCCAGTCTGGGGTCGTAGTCTGTTCGCTTTGTCGTGTTGTACACCCAAGCCGCGCAAACTGGCCTTCTAAACAAGAAGGCCAGATCGCCGGGAGGTCACACGGTGAGAAGGTATACCCGCAATGCAGCTTGAAAGTTCCACTCTCATCGTCTCAAACTCCGCGTTTTTTATTGTGAAAGTCCCTTTGGAGTCGCCAGGAAAAGGTGAAACGTGTTTCCATGTAGCATCATCTACCGTAAATGACACAATTTCAAGGAGTGATGCCGTGGGCGGTGGCTTGCTCCTAGAGATAGATGAAGATTCTGTCGTTGACACGCTTGTCCACGACCACGTTGAGATGGGAAAGTTGCTTGTTATTGCTGAGGGACGATCAGCAAAGGTCTGCGATGAAGTGGGGATCCAACTTCATCTCAGGGGNCTGCAGCACCGTACGCGTGCCCAAAACTGAACTACACGTCCGTCTCACCGTTCGACTACAGCAACATCACCCCCTACCTGTCCCACTCTGTACCAAAACGAATGATTGCCGACTTACAGCATAATGCTGTCTGAAGTGCTGTCTGTACAAAAACACCATGGAACAAGCAGCTGGCCGGGCACAAAGCTGCTGTCTAAAGTGCTGTCAGAACTGTCAGAATGTGTCTGCGGACGTACAGTGAAAAAGAACAACCAACCAAAGCC